CACCAAATATTGAGGACACTTTTTTAATTGGCTCAAAGAGAGAAGTGGCCCATCTTGTTATGTACTATCTTTGCTTGAACTAAAAGGTTTTAGATTCCGTAGCCCATCACTTCGGAACCACTTTGCGAATCGACCAGAAGATCATTATCTCACGTTAGCTCACATTTTTTCCTAATATGGTTTCCGACAAGTGAAGAAAAAACTTCGGAAGAGTGGACTCCCACAGGCCTTTGCGTTTTCACACATTTGGCTTGCTTTCGAAACTCCCTATTCTAAAACTGATGAACGCTCTTCGTACCCAAGGGAAATGTTCCCTCTTTTTATGTAAGTGTTTTTACGGCTCCCAGGGACACAATTTAGGTCATTTAGGAGCATCGCTTCCGAACTTTCCCTGTCAGGGCCTACCCGGGGAATGAAAAGGATACACCATGCAGAAAGACCGACATAATGGATTAAAAATTTCCTCCTCATTCAGGAATCAAAATCAGGTTTTCTGCGTGCCACAGTGAAGCGCCTACCGCAGACGCAAGTAAATTATGTGTCGCGACGTGATGGAATCCCGCGCTCGTCAATTTTTGGTCATATAGATCTATGGAGTTATTGATATCATCTTGTCTTGACTTTTCATGAAGAAAAAAAAGTTGATCTATCTTGAATTGCAGTCGAGATATTTGTGATTGAAGGTGGTGGGGTCGCCTGGTGTCAAAGGAAAAAAAATGACGAGAAAATTATGGCCGCCAACGTTTGGTGACTTCCAAATCTTGAAATTCTTTGGTAACTACAAATTTACATTCTGTGTGCCCTTGATTAACGTTTTCCCGGAAAATCCACACAGAAATATGTTTCTAAATGGACATATAAGGTATTGAGCCCCCACCACACCTCACCCCACCCCACCCCCCTTAAAAAGAAAGATTGCCCAACAGGCGGGACAAATTGTCAATTTCTTCGATTTCATTATTAAAATTTCATCGAGCACCTGATGTCACCACGATGCCTCACAAAAATGTTCTCTCAACTTCTCAATGCCGTGTCTACTCGCCGCAGATCTCAACTGCCTACGTGCCATATCACAAAGAATAGAAGAGGCCACACAAACCTCTCTTTTTTCCTTTCCCTTTCCTCTACCCTATCAAATCTATATCACAAGAGACATTACAGACATCACTCACTAAAATAAATGCGAGGGCATCATTATTTAATAATCCTCACAGATTCTATCAATGGCGGGTCGATGCGTTTTTCTGTTCTCATGGACATTTTAATCTTCAACAGACTATTTTATTGTTGGAGGGGACAGAGGAATTCTGCGTGAAACCTCGTTACTTTTCATGTTTGTGAGGAAAATTGTCGTTCTCGGGGCCCATAAATGATGATAACGATTTTTGAGGCTGAAGGTGCAATAAAAACTTTATATGAGCACTGTTTGCGAGGAGGTATGATGCTGTGAACCCCCAAGGAAGGTGGCAAGCAAGAAATGAATGTTTGATTGACGAGATACAGAGCTCTCAATCTCAACCTTGTTTTAAGTTCATTTTTGTAAACCCCCCCTCC